ATATGTTCTCATCCTTGTAGTTTCACCTCAGTATCATTTATCACATCCCACTAAGGTATGCTTATCCTTGCTTGCTAGTACTTACTCTTGCTGACATATCCTAGAACTTGTCCTAGGCAGATTCAATTGTAGCATCATTTATCATGTCCTGCTGAGAACTTGTCCTAGCTTCATACAAAGTCCAGAGGTCTGGAGTTCCAGAGATCTTGGTGGAGATGGGACTAGGATATGATCATGTGGTGGATATGGTCTGGAACCCCAGGGGAGATAAAGTCTGGATGTTTTACTGGATAGAATATACTTAGAGTGGACAGGATAGAGGGTGCATGATCAGGCTAGCTATGGAGATCCAGAGTTCAGGGGTAGTCAGTTTGAATATCACCATAGACTTACCTAGTCTTTTTCTGGACTTCAGTTCATCTGAGCTCTGTCCTTTCCATCAGGCCTAGGGAAGGATTTCCTAGGCCTGAAATCCGGACCTTTAGATTTGTTTCCCATGTCTCCATTCCAAGTCTAAGGATTGATTCCCTAGGCTAGAGTTTTGCCTTTCCGGTGCTTACTCTCTTTCTGGACTTTGGTCTAATCTCTGTCTCTCTGACTCTACCTAGTATAGTCTATCTCTGTTTTTTTTTTCCATTTTGGACCATGTCTGATGTAGCCTCTATTTCTATACTATACCTCTGGAACTATATTCTGTCCTATGCTCATTTGGACTTCCAGACCTTTGGACCTCCTATTCTCCTGATCTTTGGACCTCTGGACCTATCCTATCCTGTTTCAACCATTGTCCCTTGCAGTCTTCCTTCCATTCCATTTTCTCTAGAGACATTGCCTAGGGTTCTCTCTACTTCCTGTGCAGTGGAAACTCCTCTGGACTTTACTATACTCCTCCAGAACTCTCCCACATTCCTCTGGACATTTCCCACACTCCTCCAGAAGTCCTTTGGACTTCATCGGACCATCATCAAACTTCATCCAAAAAGAAAGGCATATACTCGGGTAAGGAGCACAGTGCACGAGCTGAGGCCAAGCCCATTGGACATCAGTCCTCTCTCCGCTTGAGGAGACCAGTTCTTAACAAGTAAGCAGGATGGAAAGGAGTACATCCAGATAGCCAGAGAAGGGGAAGTCTAAAAAATGGAAATGGATGCAGGATTGAGTTTGTAAGTAGAAGCACCAGATGGAGATTGGGTGGAGATTAGATCAAAGATCTGGAGATCCAGAGATGATAGGGTTAGAGATCTGGGTCCAGAACATGGGATATGACAGCTTGACATTTTCATCAACAAGATTATCAACTAGTGCAAGGTTGGCTAAGGAAGACAGTACTTAGTTTGTTGGGTTGGATTCAATGAGGAAGATGACAAATGGCTACCAAGACATGAGTTGAAAGACTGTGAGGTGCTCAACATCTGGAAGAAGGAACATTCTCAAAGATAATGAGGAAGGATGTAAGCCAGGCTTACCAGATGACAGCTATGCCCCTTCTCATTGAACACTGCATACTATTTGTCAAGTGTTTGGATCGACATCATTGACTCGTATATATAGCTTGACACATACATACTTGCATCTTATCTTCTTACTGTATCATTGATCATATGCTCTTCCACATTACAATTTGCCTGTTACTATCCTTGGCCCAGAGTTGCAAAATGTTCTGACCAGTTTTTCATAACATAACAACTATATGACATTAAAATAAGGAAACACTAGGAGCATGTAAGATTTGGTACAGACTAAGGTTATGTAAAAAATAAAATAAAATAACTTGTCAAGCCTACACTGCCAGAGAGAAGCTGGTGCAAAACAGTGTTTGAGCACAGAGTTACAAAATTTCTCACTCACATAGAAGTCATCATGTCACACTGTGTCACATTGCCATTTAACTCTCTGATAAAACTGAGGCATTTGACAAGTGCCATCAAGGATTCCAAATTTGGCTTCTTGCAACTCCAAACACAAGCTCACTCCTCCTGTCACACTTTGCATCTCAATAGTTCAATATTTATGGCTCTCACCATAACACAGTTTTTGTGTTAGAAAAATTTAGAGCAGTGTTAGAAGGCAATGTGGAATCACTAGTAAAATTTCTGAATTTTTTGGTGCATGTAATGGCTTCCCTCTGATGGATTAATGTGGAAAGTGCATGTTCTGCACAGTATTTCACTGCTGCAAGCACTTCCAGCCCATTTTTCATGAAATAAAAATACATACAGCAAGCTATGTACTAATTATTCTATAGAAACATTGTGCAAAGTAAATGAGTAGAAGGTGAGTGTGCTACATTGTGATTTGCAACTCTGAGCCATTTTGCAACTCTGGGCCAAAAATAGTAGTGTTGCCATCAACATGATGGCTCTACACTAGGGACAACAGTTTTAGCTAAGTTACATATACATACTGAAAGCTTAGGGTTTGCAGGAGGTTGGGCATTCTAACCCACTCCAGGTCAAATTCCAAGGTTTGCCCTTGGGGTGGCCATTTGTGCCCTCCTGTTTCAGAAATTCCCACAAAAACCACAGTACCTGGGAGCAGAGCTGGTGAAGGGATAAAAAGTACTGATAACATGAGAGGGTGTAAGCACACTGGCTTACTAGAGTTTCCATAATCTACATATCATGAATGATGCAAGTTCACAACTAGAACTTGGATGGGGGCTCTTGCTAAGCCCGCTGAGACCAGTGAGCATTTGATAGCAAGAGTTCGCAGCAATAATGACATCTGTCTTGATGGCAAAGTTATCAATGATTAGGACAATGTGTATCTAATCATGCTTCTCAATAGTAAGACTGTTAGATGATGAGTCTGACAAAGTCTGGAGTGAGAAGGCAAAGCTTGCTTAAGGCCTCTGGAAGATAGGCAGGTAGAACCAAGTAGATTCAAGTTAGAGAATACAAGTGATACCCTACTGGTATATATAGGTAGGAAGTGGTTAAGGGCAAAGGGGAGACAAGTCAGAGCAAGTCATAGATAAGATGGTACCAGTTGAGTGGTAAGTGTAAAGGGTCGACTGAGTCAAAGATAAGTACCGGTCAGGTGGTAAGGGCATAGGGTTGTGAGTCAGAGAGATAAAACAATGGTAATGGTAAAATGTCCACAGCTATCTAGAGGAGCTGTGTATTCGAAGTAAAATGACATAGTAAGTACAAAGTAAGACAAAGGAAAGAGAAAATGGATAGGGGCTAAAGCAACCAGATGTTCTTGTAACACTACATAAATACTGTCCATGATACTAAAACATAAGCTTTCAGCATCACTGCCTTTCGGCATACTGTACCTCTGTGTATGGAGGCAACCATAGCATGTCATAGGGCCTTGGTAATTTGCTCCACCATAACATGTCACAGGGGGTCAGTTGCTAACTGTATGTACATTGTAGAAATCACAAAAAAATTGCCGAAAAATGGCTAAAAACTACTTTTTCACTGCTGCACCGACTTCCTGCTCATTTACTGGTGCCCATATATTCTCATTGTCTCCTGCTGCAACTAGTTCATGCCTGTCACCTCACTGTACATCATGGATACAAAATTATGCAGTGTCTGCAGCCGCAGCATCAACCCCTTCAATCCTGAAAGTATCCTAAATGACAGCACTACAAGGTATATTAGTGTCATCACCACCAGCCTCAGCATCGAGCTGAGACTCGGGTGATTCATCCTCCAGGCTGTGAATGATACCTGTACAATTTTCAATGTCGTTGTAAAGCTTTGGGTAGCTGCGCAGGTACAAATTGAGAACTATTTGTGCGTTCTTACTTGTAAGGCACTCAGCCAAGAGGTTCTACTCTTTCACAGTACACTTTTTCCATGACTGCCATAATATGTATGATTCAGTGGATCCATAAATTGAGATAGTCAAGAATACCTTTTATACCAGTTCACATCCTAATGGACTTGTCATATACCATATATCCGGTTACAGATCCGATGATCTGGATCTCAGATCCGATCCAGATCCGATGAACATATCCATCGTCCGGTCCACAGATCCGCTTTGATTCTTATTTCATTTCCTGTTCATATAACTCTAACTATCGTTCAACTCCTTTCGGTATTCCTGTACACCGGTATACCGGTTATCCTTTACTTCCGCTTTGCTTACTGATCCGCTATGCTTACTGATCCGCTACACTTACGAATCCGCTTTTACTTGTACTTCATTCCCGGTTCATGATTCGTGATCCATCCAACTTACCAATACGCTCCACTTAGACTTTGCTTATACTTTCGTACATAGCCTCGCACCTTTGCTTATTGATCATTCCGTTAGCTATCCGTAGTATATAAACCTTTGTATATGCGCTGTAGTAGATCAGTTCGAATATCATCTTAGATTGCACTCATTCCGTCTGGACTCTGAGTCCCTCCGTTATCCATCCGGACTTGAGTACGCTACTCTTGTCTACTCCGAGACTTAGGATAGATTCCTATAGTCTACATATCCGCCTCTGTCTTCGGACAGTCCTCACCCGTTAGTTTCTAGTCCGGATCCGATCTGGATTGGCCGTTACTCTATACGTTCGATATCCAGAAGTCTTAACGGATCCATTGCAATACTTATCCGTTTCACTAGACGCGATACTTTAGCTCTCTGAAATAAGGGGCAAGACTCGAGAAAGGGGCACAGCGTACGAGCTGAGGCCGAAGCCCTTCGGATCCGATACTACTTGAGTATGGTCTTAACAGGACTCATCATAAAATCATAGACCTCCACACTTGCAGCTACAGATGCATCTCATAAAATAGGCAATGATGTTGTGAATTTAACTTGCTCTGGTGTTATTCCATCGTTGCACACCAGACTGCCCCAATCCAGCCAATGCATGACGATGCTGCACATTTTCAAGGGTCACCTTGGACCATTGTCGCTTCAAGCCCTTGTCTATCCACTTTTGGACAGTGCCTTTGTTCAGATGTGAAAAAAGGGCTGGATGTTCTCAAGAAAGTCCCTTGGTCATGGCTTGTGGGGACCAATCAAATTTATGTGCAGCTGTGTCAATATGAACCCAAAGGAGAGGGTGATACCAGTTTGTCTGCTTGTGCCATTCCTGCCTTGTTCCACCACATGTTCTGTTTCACTGATCCTTCCAATGTGAATCTGATCGAGACAGCTCCACTACATCTAATGCAGTCATTGTTCCATGTGTGTGTTTATTGACTTACCTGATTGATAGATGGTTCATTTTGTCTCTTTTCAGTGGCAACAGCAGCTCTTTTGCGCTCACAGTGATGGCATTGCTGTTCAGCTGCTCCTTCATGTTAACTCCGTTCTCGCTCCAGCTATTCTTCTTCTTCCTCATTTTCTTCTTTTCCCAGGACTCTCGTGTCAAGGCATCTAGCCTCTCCCACTGCAACTTCTTCTCCCTTTCAGTTTCAAGTGGTTTCCACCTCAAGTCATCAAAGGTGAGCTGCTAGGTTGGCACAGTGGTACTCCAGTTAGGAGGTGCAGGCTTAATTTTTTCAGATAAATCGACCCTCAATTTATGACTGGATTGAATCGGAACAGTGCATGTTTTCATTTGCTTACCACCATCTGATGAACCTTCGCTGATCTCCATGATGCCCGCAAATGAACCACTTTGTGCAGGCTGCGCACATTGGGTTTTTGCCCGTTTTTCAGGACTAGCGCTGACATCCTTATTGATATTCATTGGGTTTTTGCACCTTATAAAGAAGTAACTTTTGAATGAACTCTAAATAAAAAAATAGCTCACTTCACAGGAATTTTTGCACCCTGTATTTTTGTGGCCATTATGAGTCTCTCGAGCCATACTTCATGCAGGAATTCTCGTTTGGAGTCCTTCTCCAATTTTTTGACAGCAAGTTTGAACATCTGGATGAGCACTTCATACTGCTTTCCTCATTCGTGGAAAACAATGGTTCTATTTAGCACGAGTTTGTGAGTCTCAAAGCAGACTTCAAGGTTCCTATTGAATACAAACCAAACACCCTCCTCCTCTATAAGTTCAGGGTCAAGACCAAAACCATATTGTGAACTTGAGGGGTCGAGCGGAAGGACTGTAGGCAGATTTTTCAACAGCTCAGCAAGATGATGGATGTGAGAGATGAGTTCTGAGGATGGGCCCTGTTGAGCCAATGAATCATGACTCACATTCTGCTCTTTTGCTGCAGCTGCAATGGATTTGTATGGCTTATTTCCAATTGCCTGGATTGCAGCTTGAATGTGCAACTCATATGTATGTAGGGTCTAGCACAGCTCATAGCTTTCCTCATCTACCACTACAGACTTGTAAATGCAGACTAGCTGCACCCAGTACCAGTCAGCACTTCCAAAGTGGGTGTGTGCAGTTTAAAACTCTGTCATGGCACATATTGGCAGGTGACATTTCTGTGTGACTTCAGCACTTTCAATTATCTCACTCAATTCTGCTTCAATCATGGTTGTTCAACCTCACAATGAGTTGTATTAGAGAGAGAATGATATCTATGCTATGAATTTTGTGAAAGTGCCGACTTCTGTGGGGTGCTGATTGCAGTGGAAGGGATAGTAAGAGCCAGTTCAACAATGAGATGTTGACCAACATTTGGCTGAACTCATGTGAGATGTTCTCAGCTTGGAATTTGTCGAAGGTCGGAACTTGAATGGTATGGTCACATTTGGACTAACCCTAGACTAGGGCGCATGCACTGTTATCTAGTAGGCAGGATATGATACTTCATCCTTGGATTGATCCTCTATGGGTCCCTACTGCAATGGATTGTCAATCAGAAGTCCCAAATTTTGTGCCCAAACACCCAGAAGCTCGTCACCACTGTCATGCATGGTGTGGTGTTCATACCATGACATATACAAATAGCAGTGTAAAAGGAGATGAGTAGAGGAGTGTACAAAGGATATACTTCTCACTTATATAAGCTTTGTTTCTATTTATTTAGTTGTATCTGTAGTTTCCATTAGTTTCTGTCTCTTTCCATGTTTCCATTTGTTCATGTTTATTCAGCCACTTGATTACATCAGTGAGCCACTCAGATATGTTTGTAAGCATGTCATGTGATTGGTAATATTCTGATTTGTAAGGACTTTCCATGACTCATCATGTTTTGTCATGATTCGTCATGCTTTGTAATATTTTACAGTGCTTTGTAATATTTTACTGATGTACTTTAGTAAGCAGCTGATTCAGCACACCAAAAGGCTTGGTTTGTAAGCATAATCTTACCAATCCAGTAATGACTCATTGCTTAGTAAGGATGGTTTCTAAAATGTATATAAGGACTCCATTCTCACATAATATGTTAAGTTTTTCCCCTTTCATTCTTTTTCCAATCTGTGTGGGAACATAGGAATTTAAAGTCAGGAGTTTTCCCACTTTCTGTCTCAACACTGTGAGATCCAGAAGAAAGTGAAGGCCTACGAGTTGCCTTTGAAAACCATTGTATTCGCTAGTCTAGATTGATTATATACTATCTTACAGGGATTGCCTATACAATAATCTATTGTTTAATCTATCATTTTAGTATTTGTGTCACGTTCAGTTCAGAGAGGTCCATATTACCTACTAGGTTTAAGTTAACCTGACAAAATATATACTACTCCTTTACTATCAAGAAGTGATCTAGCAAAGAAGTAATTTATTACCCTTTGGCCACCCACGAACACCACATTATCAACCGAGAAGTAGAAAATCTGTTGACCGTGAACTTGAGGAGCTGGCACCTTAGTCTTAAAGAGTACAATTGTGATAGTCATTGTATTCTGTTCAACATATAAGACCCTCAAGTAAGAAGACACCGCCTGATCCAATATGTGATTCTTTTAATCAGTATACTAATCAGCACCACAGCCAATGTCCTAGATTCTGTCTACTCAAAGGATCTGGAGCCATATCACACATCTGCTCTCTTGGGCGAAGCATGGGTCATGGAATTATTGTCTGGTCACCCAGAACGAATCTGGTGTGAACTCAGCATATATGCACACATCTTTGCGGAACTCATCTCTGATATTTGTATCCTCGGACACACCAATTCCAAGTTTGTTTCATTAGAAGAACAACTTGCAATTTTTCTATACACTGCCATCACAGGATTATCTATCAGGCATGTCAGTGAAAGGTTTCAATGGTCGAATTATACAATTTCTTGGTAAGTGTATACTAATATTAGTATCATAGTCTCATAGTATATTATGTATAGTTACTTTCACAAAATGCTCATCATCTTCTCATCCTCCCCCCTTCTATATGAACCATGTTCAATTACCAGACACATCCATTCCCAATAAAATTTGCCATAATCCCAAATTTTGGCCATTCTACAAGGATACCATTGGTGCCATTGACAGGAGCCATATCCATGCATCACCTCATGCATTTGAACAAGGTCCCTACCGCAATTGGAAGGGATTCATTTCCCAAAACTGCCTCTTTGCTTGTGATTTTGAGCTCAAGTTCACATATGCACTCACTGGCTGGGAGGGGTCTGCCATGGATGTGCGTATCTACAAGGCCATGGAGGGTCATGACCTTTGCATTCCTACAGGGAAATATTTCCTTGCAGATGCAGGTTTCCCTCTGCAACCTGAACTACTCATCCCCTACCATAATGTACACTACCACCTCACAGAATGGGGCCATGCAAGTATAAGGTGCATGTACACTTCCCAATATGTACTAATTTTCTACAGGCCAGTGTCATATCCCATATTCTGGACCTTCGTCTGATGATGTTCCCACGCCTTCCGGATGCACATCCGGACCTCCATACCCTCATCCATGCCTTCAGTCCTCCAGTTTACTATCGGTTTGGATCCATACACCTTTGTACATCCATATATCCATACCTCTGGACCTCCGCAGCTAAGCCTGCTTCATCCACCCTTGATCCTATCGGATCCGAGCTCATTCCATCTCGGACTTTACCTTCCCTAGACTACCAGTCTATATCCATGATCCTTATCCTAGTTCCGTCTTTACCTGGATCTCCAGATCCACTCATCTGACATCCAGACACTTCATCCGATATCTCTAGACCTCCAGATCTGACCTATACTCATATCCGAAGCTCAAACCTTAAATCAGTGTCTATCCCCTTATGGTAATCCCCTTGACTCTGGACTTCGGTTGTCTGTGTTTCTCTCTTGCTTATTGATCCTTGTACTCTGTTCATCTCCGAGTTCATTTACTTATGTTCCGTTCATACTTATCAATATGTGTCCACATGCTCATACATAGCATTTGTCTTTAGCTTACTGATCCTCTTGGATCCCATCCAGTATATAAACCTCTGGACAACTCCTGTAGAGTTCCTTAGTTTGAATATCAATATAGACTTGCTCTCTCACATATTAGACTTCACTCATTCTTGTCCCAGACTTCAGTCCATCTTAGTTTGACCTTTCCTTAGGCCTAGGGAATCCTTCTCTACATCAGGTAACTGACCCGATGTAGAGACTCCATTGCGAGTAGCCTCACAAAGGCCGTATTTCCACTTCGTCTCCACTAACGCACGCTATATACGACAAGGCGACTTAAACGCGCTAAACGCGCGACACTTCCGCCTAATCCGCGCATCTGGCACCTATAGCGCGCCTCTATAGCGCCTTTCGCGTTACTACGGCGCCTTTGCGCGCGCTTTCGCGCTTTACCTTCGCGTTCGCTTTTCCAAGTCGCCTGTCCTCCGCACGTCCTGTCCTGTCCCTCTATGATCCGCTGGTGCGTCTCCCTTTATCTTTTCAACTGACTTTAGCTATATACCTCGTCTGTTTACACATATTTCCTTATTCTACAACACAACAACTCTTTTTCGCTTCGCTTCCGCTTCGGCTCAGCGCCCTGGGAACATTTACCTTAGACATGGGGACTCTGATAGATTTTTCACGGACTTACTTACTTACTCACTACATCCCATCATCCTGCATCAGTGTATACTGTGAATCAATTTCTATTCATTTGCAACACAACCACTGCGCGACTCTCTATTCTTTTGCAACAAGCTCTCTTGAGAAAATCTTGAGAGACCTTCGCGCTACTTCCGCCTCTTCACTGCCCCCTATAGCGCGCTTGTTCCAGCCTCGCGGTTCCGCCTACGTCGCGCTTTCGCCTTTCGTCGCGTTAACGCGCGTTTCGCGTTTACAAGGCGTCTCGCACCCGCTGCTTTGCGCAGATTCCCTTGCTGACTCGTTCAGCGCATCCCCTCGCATTTACTCGAGGAAAAGACTCAGTAAAGATCCTCTTGGGCCGACTTCTACTCGCGTTCGAGGACTACTGCAGGCGACTTATCTTATATTTTTCAGTATAGACCCACTCACGATTCCTCATCTTCACCGAGAACGATAATTTCTTAGCAAGCTTTATCTGATCTCAAATTTGCATAATACCTATCAGAATTGTATCCCACATGACAAAGCTTTGAATACCTGGACTTAGTTGGATGGACCCCGCCAAATGTATAACTGTGAGTCTAGTTTGTAATCACCTGCCAGCCTATTACCAAGATGATGGTTGTTGTGACACTCATTTGCTGTCGCAAAGCAGGGCTAAGTTGTGAGATCGACCACTGTCATCTAGTTGAGGACCAGTGGTAATGACACTATAATTCTGCCCTTCGCCGGTGATGCTATGTAACCTTTGATTGTTTCTATTTTCTCTGAAACCTCTCAACCAATCTCAGCATTAGACAAAGTTTTACATGGCCAGACTACATTGGGTGACCACTGCCAACAGCCCAAGGGTGGTTGCATCTACAGTGTATTACCAAGCTCCCTCGAGCTGTTTGCCTTATGGAGACCTAGTTTGTAATTGCACCCCCAGCAAAATCTCTCTTGGCACTGATGTTAGGTCTGTGGTTGTGATGCCAGCCTGCTAACTACACAATTCAGGTGATTAGTGACAGTGCATTGACATCCGATAAAACGTCAAAGAGATGTGATGGCCATTTGCAAAGTTATATTGTCATTTTATGCTCTGCATACTCTCTCTAAATGCTGGAGCCTTCCAAGGCCAGACTGCTTTGGCTGGAGGTGACTTTTGTCCCACAATGTGGAGGCTTGACAGTGCAGTAGCTGATTACTGAGGTCTTCATAATGTCGTGAGGGAGCCAATGTGCTTTCGGTAAACTCTCCCAGAATGGCGTCGCCGGATAGAACCATTGAACTAAAGGGTGCTTTGTATCAAAGGCACCAGGATGCTGGTATTGGTAACCATCGGTATGCAGCCAAAGCATAGCTATAGCATGCAATCTTGGTACCTCCAGATCTTATCCTGCAGGGTATGCTTGAATACTGCCGCTATGGTAGCGGATACTATTTTCCAGCCGTGTTACATGTGGCCAACGCAGATTATTGTTAGGTGGATTTATACTAAGTATGAACATGTAAACTAGGAAGAGACAGCACCCAGATCTGTAGCTTGTTTGAGGGCTACACACTTTTGTCTGATCTTGAATAAGGCGCTGTTGACACTGATAGCCCTCTTGGCAGCAAAGGAAGTAGGAAAAATCTGGCTGAGTAACATATTGGTCATTGCAACTGCATAGCAAAGGGTGATAGAGATACTGATTCCACCAGGTCAGCAGCTCATCAACTTCTTTAGATTCGTCAGGGTCTGTTCGTGAGAACACCAATGACGAGCTTAGAGTGGATCACACCTTCGGCCATATGTCAAAAACTGTGTTACAAAAGGATACATTACAAACCTGAGTTGCGATGTACGCAATGGAAGCGATGGTGACGGATTTCATCCTGTGGAGGCGAGCGTTTCCGGACTGCATAGCTTTTGGCTCCCTCTCAACTGAACTTGGAGAGGTGAAAATGTGCTTGTAGGCCTGATAAAATACTATATAGTGAATGGACTGTATACAAACACGAGAGCATACTCACACACACTAGTAAGTGGCTCCTAAGGAGGCCACACCATGGGTCTTCAGGGTCATAAAGGTAGTGGGCATACAAGAAAATGGGCCACTGATCCCCACAAACTAGTATTTCACCACTCTGGAGGTTCTCCTTCATTCTATTGACAAAGAACAAAAATAATATCAGATTTTCAATGTTAGCTTAAACCGAAACATACTGGGGGTTGTCCCAGTTCAACCCAGCAGGGCAGAGGAGAGATCCAGTGAGTTGATGGTTAAAACCACGGTCGATCTTGGAATTCTGATGTAAAGGAGGCTGTGTTGCTTCTCCATTTGGAGAAATCCAGTCGAGTACCACAGACTTCAATGTTTTTGTGACATCACCTCTAGCACCAGCCGCTCCCCTATCAATCTGTAAATCATAAGTAAGAACTCTGGCCATGTAACTGAAGTTCTACCAGCTCTCCAATGTGAATGATTTCCTCCTCAGACCCATCCTTCAGTCGCTCCAGAAGGCCGGGATAGGACTCTAAGAGCTGCTCAAAGACACGATGCTCCCATCGCTCTCTGCCAAACATATCAGCAAATAAGGGAATGGAGAGATGAATGTCCTTGACTCAGTAGAGAAGTCCTCTAATGGAGTGTCTTCCATTTGCTCCAGTCTCAGGATACTGTTGGTGAGTAAGGAGGGGTAGTTGCAAAGCGCAAATACCATTCGACCAAAATGGTGTCCGTGGGAGACAAGTGGATTGGATGAGGAGCTGGAAGGTGAGATGAGCCTACAAAACCTGTGGTTGACGTAGTAACAACTCACACTTTTTTTCGAGGCCCCATTTGGAGAGCTGATGAACTGTGTTTGCTCGGAATGCTGAAGGTGGTATCCTGGGTAGTCATGAAAGTTGGGGAGGAAGAATGGGTAGCCCAGGTTTCGCCGATACAGAACATAGCTTTTATCCTTAGCACTGCACTACATAATATTTGAGGGAAAGTGGCAGCAATGGCCCAGAGAAAAATTGGCTAAGTGGCCAGGATGAATCTGGCCCCGCTCATTAATTCCATGCAGCGACACATCAACCTCATGCCAACATGGTTAGCATGACTGATATCTAGCTCCCTTGAACTTACACCTTCTCAATATACTACAGCCTGGCATCAGACTCATGTCATCCAAGGGAAAATGGCGAAAAGCGGCCACTGTGAAGAGGACAGAGCTTCCATTGAGTAGTCCAGTGCAGCAGGGACATGTTTCCTACCAACCTTATATATGGGACCGCTGCCTTGACCCACATCTGGCCTGGCCAGTTTGCCTTACCATCACCATGTCTGCCAGGCCAGAAGTTCCGGCCTGTGGGAATATGCCAATGTGATGGTGGTTTTCATAATCGTACTGGCTGTCTTTAACGTCAAACAGCATTATAAACTCAGAATCAAACACACAATTGTCCTATCAGCTCCTCATGGACCTGGAAGATTTATTGCTGACTTCACTTCCTTCCAAGTGCACCTGTACGCGCCAGTTCATGCAGGAGAGTGCTCTATCCCAGTCTTCAAAGGCCTTCTCCCTGACCCTCACAACAAGATCATTATCAATCTCCTGTTATTATGGCACACTAGCATGGACTTGCGAAGCTTCGCATGCACTCTGACCTGACCCTAGACATCCTCAACTGGCAAACAACAGAACTGGGTGAACATCTTCGTCAGTTTAAGGCAAAGGTGTGCGCTGCATACAGCACCCATGAACTTAATCGTGAAGTCGACATGAGGTCTCGTTGGCAAGCAAAAGAAGCCTCTAAACACATGGGGAAATGTAGAGCGAATGGCAGTACGGCCGTGGCTCCGGGGCCTAGGGCAGGTGCCAGCCTTAAAGGGAAGCAGAAGGCAATCCTGGGGCAATCGCAGGACACACCTTTGTCAAAGCAGCCCAGGAAGAAGAAGTCATTCAACCTTTGGACCTATAAGCTTCATGTGTTGGGGGATTATGTAGCCTGCATCAGTCACTTTGGTACTACGGATTCCTACAGCATGGAGCTGGTAAGTATTGATCTTCTGACTGCTCGCTTTCCAACTCAACTGCTGTCAGGGGGAGTTGGAGCATCGTATGCTGAAAGGCAGGTACTGTTGAACCGATCAAAGGGCCTTCATTTACTAGCTGACACAGATTGAGCATCGACAAGCAAGATTGCACCGCATAAAGCAATGTCAGCGTAAATGGACTTCTCATGCAGCTTCTAACGAAACTGGGAGCAATCCTCAGCTCCACCATCACATCGGCCAAAGCGAGAAGGTGTATGATGAAATTGGCCATTACCTCCGCAGTCATACGAGAGACCCTGCTATGAAGGTAGTTGACTTTGTGAGGAATAATCATCATTCTGATGTATGACTTAGAACTTTCTGCGCCGGTTGAAGGATCATATTCTTGATCACCTTAACCCATGGTCTTCTGAATCTTCTTCTGAGAAACCTGCCCATTCCGATGCAGCATGCAGTTCAATTCTCTTCAAATGGAACAGAATATACCACCACAATATCACAAAATTCAATTACACCACATACGATGTTCGAAGGGCTCAGGATGTCATTATCCTGAGGACTGCTCACTGCAATATCATGCTGCTGCAGTGTGGTTATAATGATGCTCTCAATGGCAATTACTATTATGCCAAAGTTCTCAGCATTCATCATGTCAACATGGTTTGTACGGGGAACGTGTATGAAGCTCACCAAATTGAGTTTCTTTTTGTTTGTTAGTATGAAATCATACAAAGCCATTCTTGGGACACTCATTCTTTGGGTCGGGTTCGTTTTCTACCTCTGGAAAATCTGAACACATTCAGTTTTGTGGACCCAGGGATGTTCTTCGAGCGTGCCACATTATTCCAGCCTTCTCTCGACGTCGACATGATCAGAGTAACAGTATTTCCCCTCTTGCTGGAGATAAACATGATTGGCATGAATAGTATGTCAACAGGTAAGCTACAATGTATTTTGGTCATTCTTACTGATGCCATAACTCTAACAGTTTTGTTGATTGTGATACCCTCATGCGGTTCCATCATGGCCTTGGTGTAGGCCACGTGTATTCCCATAGGGCAGGAGTCTTTGGCCTGCTACCACACTCTGTTAGTCGGACATCCGCCCTGACCAAAGATGAGCATGTGGAAATCATCACGGAAGTCAATCAACATCCAGTCAATGAAGAGGACAAAGAGGACAAAGACTATGTTAGTGTGGAGGAGCTGACACTGTTTGAGCAAGGACGAAATGAAAGCACAGAGTCAGTCATGGAAGTGCTAGAAGAAATGTATGCAGATCACATGTTTGATTATGAGAACTAAATTACAGCAATCTACACTATCATCATGGGAAAGGCCATTTTCAGCTGATAAGTATATTGCAGTGATCGCGAAGGTTTTGGAACTGATAATTGACCAAAACCACCAAGTTCTCAGCTATTTCCTCAAAGCAATATCAGAACATGCCCATGGGCTGCTAGACATCTTTGAAATTTCATTTTTATTGTGAGTGAACTTCCTTGCTTACTATATGTATGACTCACATTGAAGATTGCATTGAAGCTATCCAAGAATGCATGGCTTACTTCCATCCCGTCAGCGAGCTGGCTTCAGTTCAATCCACATTTATGTTTGCGTTGTTTGCACCTACTAATTTTAGGGGTGTCCTCGAACCAGAAAGAGTCAATGTCGATGGCCCACCCGAGCCAGAATATATTGGTGTATCAGTGGAAGACCTTGATTGTGCCTGACAGCAATGACCTTTGGGAGGGCCTGGTGGGCCTTCAACATTGCAACTAGATACCTTAACTTCGACTACTCTGACACTTGATTCTGCGGATACATTATGCACTTCCTCTGCGCCCATTGGTCATCTTGATTATATGTCGAGCCCTTATTATGCCAAGACAGTGTCTGTCTTGAAGAGCGTGTTTTGGTTGATCTCCTTCAGGCAAAGCCCACTCCAAGCTATCAACACCATACTTGTCTGCTGAAATATCTTCCATTTGTATGGAATACTTGGTAAAAGTACATCTTGTATCTATCCAGTCCGTGCAGCTGCTCAATCCCATTCTCAATCCTACTCTCAGCCCCCTAGATCTTGCGACCCTCTTCATCTGTATGTGGTCTGAAGCTCTGACATTCATTAGGTTTTTTTTTGTTTCAAAATGACTTACCTATAAGCGCTAATGTGCACCTCTGAGCCCCAGGAGATACTTGAGTTCTCTGACCTCCATCTCAAACATGCGACACTCCCTTGCGATCCACAATATCATCATTGCCCATGCTTCGTCTGACCAGACTGGAGGCGGTGGGTGGGGAAGGACCAGTAAGTCGGGTTGGTAGACTTGTTGGCACACACGCATTCGTGTGGCAGCCCAGGTATAGTACATTAATTGCTTGAATGATGTCAGTATCATATTTGTGATTGCGTGTATTACTCACCAGTTGCCCATCAGACATTGTGAAAACACCTCCTGTGGCCATGGTATGTGTTGCAATGGGTGTTGATGAATCTGGAGAATTTCGGTGAGCGGCCAATGATAAAAATTAGGTGCTCAACACACCTGATGATTCTGGTCTCCGTTTCTGTTTCCATGCCCCCCTCTTCTGACATTAGTGATGTCGTTGTTCATACTGGTAGATATGAGCCATCATCGAGAGTGAATAAATGTTCTTCATACCTTTGTTCTTGAGTGCTAAGTGTAGCATCCCGATTTAGGCAGTGATCAATTTACAATGTCGTGCGGCATTTTCCGGATGACCCTTTGCCCACATTTCTTCAAAGCAGTTCCAGGATTTACTATTCACTGTGGTCACATCTCTGTTGGCCTTACTTATACTGTGAGACACTAACTACACCAATAAGTACAGTGGCTCAAAAAACCGTCCGTATGTTTTGGCATTTTTCACTATCTATAATATTGTGTGAGAACAAACAAATGCCTCAAAAACATGCTTATACCACATTGTAGTATGGCTTCAGGGCTTTCATTTGAGCCCTACACCGTGGGAATCGGTGGAGATATGGTGGAGATACAAGGCTCACAAAATGGTGACTCATGCGGACAGTTTTTTGACTCAAGTATTTTACAGTAATAACCAGGTATTCTAGTATTTTGTATGACCTCCCTTGGCTTTAATTACTGCCTCTATCCTTCTAGGCATACTCTCAATTAATTTCTGGCAATCCTCAGCTGTGATCTTCCCCCATTCCACTGCTACTCTCTCCCAAAGCTCCCATACTCCTTTAGGGGGGTTTTCATAGGCTTGAAGCTTTTTCCTGAGTGTTCCCCAGAGATGTTCAATGACATTGACATCAGGAGACTGTGCTGGCCAGTCAAGAACATTGATGTTATGTTCTTCAAACCATTCCCTAGCTCTTCTGGATGTGTGCTTGGGATCATTATCCTGTTGGAAAATGATATCTTCTTCATCAATCCCTGATTCTGCCAAGCTAGGCAGCAAGTGGTCATTTAAAATGTCCACATACTGCTCAGCATTCATCTTCCCCTCAACCTCAGCAAGCATTCCCACACCATTCCATCCCATACAGCCCCATACCATTAAAGAACCTCCTCCAAACTTGACAGTCCCATTAACCTCTCTGTCTGTTAGGCCATCTCCCTTCTTTTTCCATACATACACCTTCCCATCTGACCCAATCCTATTGATTTTGGTCTCATCTGACCATATAACATGCTTCCAGTCCTCTACAGTCCAGTGTTGATGAGCTAAGGCAAAGGCTAGTCTTCTCTGCCTATGTTTGATGGAGAGAAGAGGCTTTTTCTTCTTTGTTACTGCCTTGAGATGAGCTGCCTTGAGAACATTCCTCACAGTTTGTGAAGAGACAGGGGTAGTGATGGTGGAATTGATATAATGGGTGGCTTGGACAGCATTATCAGCCTTTCCTGTAGTGATATGTTGGATAATAGCCCTTTTGTCAGTAGAGGTAAGCTTGGATGGACGTCCTCCACAAGAGTTTTCCTTGTCTGGGTGGCTTTCTTTGATGAACTTGGCCACAGTGGACTTGCATATTCCAGTTCTAGAGGAAATTTGGCGAGCAGAGAGGCCAGCATAAGACAGAGAGAGGATATTATCTCTTTGAGCAGAGGAGATGGCTTTCATGGTGATTATGACTATGATACATGAGATATTCTGGTTTATATAGTTAGATATAGTCATAAAATAACATAATGACACCACTTTATAATTTATATAATAGTGGCATGATTTTTATGGTGTCATAAATAATGATTTATATAGTTTTAATATACACTCAAAAAACTGTCCACATGAGTCATCATTTTATAAGCCTTATATCTCCACCATATCTCCGCCGATTCCCACGGTGTAGGGCTCAAATAAAAGCCCTGAAGCCATACTACAATGTGGTATAAGTATGTCCTTGAGGAATTTGTTCATTCTCACACAATATCATAGATAGTGAAAAATGTCAAAACATGCGGACAGTTTTTTGAGCCACTGTATGTGAAGGTACTTGTGCACAACTCTCTATTACTGACTAATTACTGACTAGACACTCAGGTACATCCCCATCATTGCTTCAGTATCTAAATGCCCGCCTACCAAATGGCCCTCATTCTTCATGGACTTGCACTTCCTAAATTTCCTTTTTCCTTGCGGGTGTCGTGATGTGTTTCCATACCCTTAGGTACGAGCACACCGTCCTGACTTACTGATTCCTAGCTCACCAAGTGCATATACCCATACTTTTACCTCGCCAGCTCCAGAACAATGCAAGAGCCAGCCCATGAACATCCGAGTCCTTGTTGTAGATCAAAAGAAAATATCTCACACAAAGACACCTCAACTTCCAATCGAGGTCATTGACCACATCGCTTCTTTCTTGTTCGACTCTTGCCCATCTGGAAGCTTCATCCATATCCACTCATTCTCCCTGGTTTGTTCTCAGCTTAGACATGTCGCTCTGCATCATTATTTTTCTTCCATCCGTGTTGCCTCTGCAAAGCAACTTGCTGCATATACAAATTTTCATCTCTCACTCATTTCCCGCAATGCCCCATGTGATAGTGTTGAATTTGACTACGTCAAGTGCATTTGCTTGTATATATACTTCCACACACTCACCAATAAACTTGACAGAACACTTATAGCACCATTGCATGTTCTCGAAGTAGTATCGCGGAACCCATTTCTCTATTTCCCGAGAGCGCTGTGTCATCCAATGCCCCTGTAAAACTAGCGTGTTCCCTCCCCGAACACCCGCAGTCACCCACACTTTGTAAATTCAGAATCAAGTGCACTAACTCGCAGTGCTGGTATTCTCACCTGTCTCCTGTCGCTACTGCTGAGAGCAGAGTTGTGCTTAGTACCGAGGCGTGCAAGTAGGGCAAGGATTGCAAAGACAAGGACTGTATCAAGTTGCATATCAGCCCTGCTGTCAAAAGCCCTGGTATGTCAGTCCTTTGTCTTTCTATGAATGCAGTCCAAGCTTACCCAACATCAATTGCAGACCGAACATGTTTCCAATCTTACTCCTCTGCTTTAGCTGCCAAATCCACCCCTACAGGTAGCAATGACTGTTGGTGGCCACTGTTATAGTGATTTGATAGCCTTTTGTAGCTATATCCACCCTAGATCATGCTTGCGTAGTTTGGCAATATATTACTTTAGACATATCACAACTATGACTGATGACCATTTGATATTGACATTACGGAGAGCTGCAGGACCTACTGCAACAGTTTATCTATTAAGTGTCGCAGTTGCGAGATATGTATGTCTTCATCAACATTACTTTTTCTTGCACCTTCTTGTCTCTCAATGCCACTATGCTATGATTATTTAATGGTTTATCTTTAGATATAATTCAGTGTACATGTGAGCTGAATTTGCCATTTATATCTATAAAAACCTTCTTCTCACTGGTTTCCTGATATAGGCCGACTTTCTGGTCCTCCGGATTTATCCTTCCATCTCCATCCATGCTTAAGGATTGATTCCCTAAGCCAGTGAGGCGATCTTAACCTGGCTGGGCTGATATGAAATATCTAAAAATGCTCAACCAGTATAAGTGAGTCTTGGCTCTGCCTAGCTGCTATACTCGCAGAATGCAAGAACGTTCGACCCTAAAGGGGACTGCTACTGAACACAGAACCAGATGAAAGAAAGACCCTTGTAGTGCGATGGATGCGCGAAAAAGAAAAGCAAAGTGAGCGCGAAGCGCGAGAGAGTGCACTAAGGTAAGCGCGAGCGTGGGAACATGAGCGCTAAGGCGCGCGTTGTGCGGAAAATACCGGATAAGGAAACGGATAAGGAAGCGGATGTGCAAAGCGAGTGCAAACGCAGAGCGAGTGTTATAACGAGCGCGGATAAAGGTCTACTATAGGCAGATAACGATAACCATTGGAAACACAAAGTGCGCCCAAGTGGTGACTACTACTCTAAGGTAAAACCCAATAGCGAGGGAAGTACAGCAAAGGGGAGTAATAATGATGAAGTAGTAAGTCAGCAAACTTTATACTATGGAAATCGCATCGGAAGCGGAAGGGATAGGATCAGTAAGCGCTAAAAATACGTAATGACATGTAATAGCACTGCAATGCTTGTTACAAACCACAAGGCAAGGGATATGACGTACCAATGAGGTGGATGGACATAGACGGACGTTCCTGGATGATGGGTGATGCAGGGCGCTTAAGCGCGAGAAAGCGCGCAAGGCGCATGTGCGGGAATACTGCGCATTGTGCGGGAATGTATCGCGCCTATGGCACGTTTCGTGGGAAAGCTGCGCGTTATGTGTAAAACGACTAGGGACATGATAGAGGTCGAATATAGCTGATAGTGCAAGTCGTGCATTGAAGGCCAATTGTCATGAGTTGTGAAAAGGTGCGAAATGTGCCCATATGTGCCTGCAGAAACGCGAGTCTCTACACCGGTTTCTTGCCTTTCTAGCACTTCCTGCCTTTCCGAGACTTCTGTAGCCTTTCTTCTCCTGTCCTAATCCTGTCTGCTCCTTTGGTCCTCTGATCCTCTGGTCCTCTGGTCCTCTGGTCCTCTGGTCCTCTGGTCCTCCTGACCTTTGGACATTGTGACCTTTGGACCACTCCTCCTATCCTATCCTGCTTTGGACTCTGTCCCTTGCAGCCTATCCTCTATGTGTTTCCATCTAGGGAGCTTACCTTGGGAAGTCTTACCTTCGGATCTAATGCAGTGGATGAAACTCCTCCAGAGTTTCCTGTACTCCTTCGGAAGTTTCCCGTGCTCATCCGGAAGTCCTGTAGCACTCTACTAGAGTAGCCAGCCTCCAGAAGTCCTTTGGATGCTAAATTTTACATCTATCATCTTTCAAATAACAGCTTACAACAATGTTAATTTTCTTTTTTGTGTTTTTCAAATGTTCTGTGTATCAAGAGTCTCAATTACTTCATTCAGTTCACCACATATTTGATTCAACAACATTAATAAAAAATGTAACAAAAAATATCATTCATTTTATCAAATTTTTGTTCTCAAAGTTTCCTTTCTATATTTGGTAAGAGGAAATTTGTGAAACATTTTCTATGTTTTGTAAGAATAAATAAATAGTGTTTGCAGTATAATCTCCCCAAACAACACTTGTCAAACATTTATTATGTCCAGAGAAAAAAAATAAAGTATCCTGCATGATGCAGCAAAAGCCAAAACAAAGACAGCAGCAGTTTGCATATCCACTTGATCTCCTTACCTACCTTGACTACAGCAATGTACTTTGCCTCAGTAGTGAACAGATCAATGACTCCCTGAAGCTTGAAGCTCTAGAAGACCACACTAGTACCTTTCTTGATGATATAATCCCAAGTAGAGCATCCAGTATCCTTACAACCACCATGATTGGCTTTAGAGAAAGTAGAGAATAACTCAGTGGAGTGTGGGTCAGGCTTATAGACAAGCCCTTGATGTAGCAAAGGAGGTGTTTGACAGTCTGCTAGTGGGCTATGTATCATCATCTAACTAGTGTATGGAGCCACTGAATATTCTCTCAGCCTCCTAAACTCTTCAATCATCTTCATCCTTACAGTCTAAAAGTTGTAAGTGCATAAGCATTTTTAGTTTTTAAATGGCTTACCTATATGTGCTAATATACACCTCTAAGTCCCAGGTTATACTCAAGTTCAGTTATTTCCATTTTAAACATTCAGCACTTCCTTGAAATCCATAGGATTATCATTACCTACTGAACAAACATCTGACAGTACTGTAGTTTACATATGTTTGGTTCACTTATAATTTTCCCTATTACTTAGCACTCAGTAGACCTCAGTAACTTACTGCATCACTGAGGTGAGATATTCATTCATTCATAGTATTACTTATACTGACTATCCTCTAGTATTATACTTGCTGCAATCTGAATAGCTAGATGCTCAACATTGTCCAGTTCTCATATGATCTCAATGACCATGCATATTCCTAGCTTAACTTGAACTTTGATTCTGCTTAATATGTATTTGTTTTAACAAATTGATACCAGTATGTCCTGCCACCTACATGCTAGCAAGATGTCATCAGGACTGGGTATCACCTTCACAGGAGCTTCACTATAAAAATCAACCACTTCACTCATTTCTATCACCATGCTGTTACTTACTTGCAGGTACCTGAAAATGACACTTCTTGGGAACCCTTTTTCTTGTGTATTGACTTTGACTTTGCAGAATTGATTCTGAAAGCAAACTTTATAAATAGACTAATAAGCTTATTAGTCTGATCTGTCACACTGTATTTAAACAATTCTCAGTCACCCACTATGATGACATTTGTAAGATGTGGGATGTAGCATCCTTTCACCATGCAAAAGTAAGTCTGAAATTTTAATAATCTGCTATGCCTTCCTTACAGTTGATTTTACAAGAAATGTGATTTTAGTCTTGCATAGAGACTAGGAGCATCAATTTCATATTTGGTATAGGTTGCTTTGGGAGTAGGCTTGTGATTTGTTGAAAGATCATCACCTCAGTCCACATTTTGTGTTTTTTTTTGATGAACCATAGATGACTAATGTCTTCTGGGGGAGTCCATGTATGTATGTGTTACTGTTTTTAATGTTCTGATAATGTAAATAGTGTATTTTGTAGTCATCTTTGCCGAAGGATAAAGAAAAAACCCTTCACATTTATCATATATGCTAACAAGGTAAAAACTCTCAACATTCATCATCAAAAAGCATATCCTGTCCTTGCACGATATGCAAACCTTCCAGTTGGAATATGTAATAATGAAGAGTTTGATGGTGGCTAACTTGTTGGTTGGCTTCCAATTGTACATTACTATTCAATTTGCAATAGAATTCAATGATTAAAGCTGACTCCCACAGGTCCAAGAGAATAAGCAATATTTTGGAACTCAGTCCTCTGTGAATTTAAAAATGTTGTCTGGCATAAATCATTCAAATGTCTTCTCAAATCACTTATACCAACCATGTCATTATACATACCTACATTCTGATTCATTCAATAAGATCAGCAAAAGCTATATCCAACATGTCATGCAAATACTTGAAGCTGTGTAGCTCCTTGGAAATATATGGTATAGTCTAAGAATGATTGAAACTTATCTGGTCATAGTGTTACAGAAGTGCTGGTGGTACATCCATAGGAGCCTCATCTCCCTGATCATAATATAAGAGTATTAGCATCTATATCATTAAAAATAAGAGATCATACCTTTGTTGTACACCTATTATACCAGGATAAGTGAATACTATCAAAAGATGCCTCTTCTTGGCTGCTATCAATATGCACAAGAAATGCCCCATCCTCAAGAGCTAATATAAGTAGGTCTTGAAGTGCTGTTCTAATTGTGAATGACAAAGTGCCTACAACAAAAGCTAGCGACTTATCCTTACTGTCAAGAATATTTATTATTTGACTTTGCAAAGGCAGACTTAAGCTAGTGAGCAGTGTGGAGCAGAGCAGGACTTACTTAGAAATTACACTAGCTGGAATGTGATGGTAAGAAATCTGGTGAAAGTTTGATACTACTAAAGTAGAATTGTTGCAACTTATAAGATCTAAGTGAGATATCTTAAAGTAATGTGAGAGGGTTGTTGCATGAGTCATCTGCATTGCTGACCACCACCTCATTCTCTGCTTTCTCTCTGTCTCTCTCTATCAACCTTTCATTTTCATCTTTATTACTGCTAGCTGTAGACTATTGATTATCTGGATGGTGTCCATCATAAGTGGGCTACCAGCAAGCAAGACCTTGCCTGATATTTGAAAACAGTGGCTAGTTTTGTCACATCATATCAACAGTACATCTGTTATAAATGAAGCTAGTTCATATCTAGAACTTAGATGGTGACTTCACCCAAGTCTACTGAGACCAGCAGGTGTTTAATAGGGCAAGCTCACAGCAATTACAGGAACTGTCAAGGTTCCTAGTAATAATTAGCAATTACAATGGTCTGTCACTAATTTCCGATAGTCTACATATTCGCCTCTGTCTTTGGACAGTCTTTATCCGTTAGTTTCTAGTTCGGATCCAATCCAGATTAGCTGTTGCTCTATACATCCGATATCTGGATGCCTTAATGGATCCGTTATGATACTTATCTGTCTCACTAGACACAATACTTTAGTACTCTGAAATGAGGGGCAATACTCAGGAAAGGGGCACAGCGCATGAGCTGAAGCCAAAGCCCTTCGGATCCGATACCCCTTGAGTACGGTCTTAACAAGTACTCTTAGTACATTTCCTTATGTACATCTAGTTGGAAGATGTGCATTGGACACACTATTATGGCTGTATCAATGGTGAATTGTTCAGCGCTGCTCAAATTCAAGACCAGCTTCAAATGGTGTGAAATTGATCAGACTAATAAGCGGGAGGAACACTATAATGTAGCTATATAGTGTCTGTCTTCAGTTTCTGGTCTTGAGTAGTTCATGCTCGATGAATTGCTAGTTGGCAGAAGTTGTAGGAAGATTATGAACTTGAATTTCAGAGAACTTGAAGGGAAGGCTGGGTAATGTATGATGGAACCATTATTGTCCTGTACACCAAGCCAAGCCTCAATGGAGATGCATACTTCACTTAAAAATCAAACTATAGTCTCAACCTTTAGGTAAGCTTGCACTAAGTATCTAATCTTACCCATGACTCAGATCTTGAACATCTTGATATCTCCTCCTTCACCTCTTTCTCCAGTTTGATCTGGCTGCCCTGACTCTTCTGATCATGACATCATTACTGCTTTCTATGACTATCTTCAAGATTCCATTGTAAGTATTTTGGATGAGGTAAAGAGGCCAATGAACCTATGTCATGAGCCCCATAGCTGCACCTTCTTATCCATTTTTGGGAACATCACTCTCTTTTATTTTGTCATAAACTATGTGTTGATTCAGAAATTTTTGATGATATCCTTGATTTAATTTCTGGCCACCCTATTTTTTTACAACAATTCCAACAATCTCCAGCTTCCCATCTCTATCCAACTTACTATTTTTCTCAAATATGCTGGCCATTATAGTAATTCTGTCACTCCAGGATGTATCTGAATGGGCTGGTGTTAGTGTTGAGTCTGTGGCCAACTGCCCTAATTATGTAATAGTTACACTACTTGACCAGCATGATGCATTCATGGGCTTCCTGCTGCCTGATTCACAGGACTTTGAGCTTGCTAGGCAATATACTGCAGCAACAACTTGGCAGAATGGTGTTCTAGCTGTCAATGGGATATTAATTGACCTGCACAAGACACCTGGATTTTACCTTCAGGCTTTTTATAACAGGAAATCAAAATATTCCCCAGGCTGTCA